CTGTACCTCCTCCCCTCCATACGTCTCCATGGCATGGGACTGAATTGGGTAGAGACGACTTTACCTTTAGCTTTTATTTCTTGTTACGTTTCGTTAATATCGATTTAAACAGCCCAAGGACAACAATTATTGTTTGCGCGCAATGCTGTCACTGTATAAACCTTTAAGGTACAATGGTTAGTACATTGTCACTCGCTTTGGTATGAAAGTATATCCGAATTTGACCGTCGCAATGTATTTATGTAGACACCCGTCATGGTCGCCGCTGTCAACGTCAGATCCAATATGTCTGATGGCATCACTGCCACAGAGCGCCTTGCAACCCCTGTGCTGATAAATTCCACTTTATGCCTGTCCGAGTTAGCTGCTGTGACAAACTGTCCGACCGAGTGTAGAGTGGAATTGCTAGGGGCCTGTTACAGGCGAAATTGTGGGCGGGTTTCATGGTATTGCTTCTGAACTTGGCACGATTTATCACACCCACATTACGTTTTATGCTGTAACTTTCCCTTAACTAATTCGGTTTCTGTGTGTAGCTACTAGGTCATAGGTCATAAAATAAAAGCTTTATTGATCTTATACACCCCTCCACCCCTAAGGGATTTCAAAACAGCCGTTACCCCCGAAAGTATAAACACAAGAATTGTTTTCTACGGTTTACACCGATGATCTATCAATACTATGTCTCGTAGAATTTCGTAGTGTTCGGTAGACGTTTACCGACGTTTCGGACGAATATTCTAACCTCCATCTTTGTGATTGAGAGGCACCAGGTTCTTCCCAGAAGGCAGTAATCGTAGCTCATAAATTTGTTTTGTTTATTTCACCCACTCCTCAAAAGAAATTGATAGTAGAGCCCTAAAGTATAATGAGGCAAATTTGGACACGCCATTGAGTTGTATGTTAAATATATTCGACCAAACCACAAGGAGGTATAGGGAAGTAGATGTATAGCTCCACCCACTCTTACCCTCGGCAGCAGTTCGATGTGAGTAGCAGCTTCTCGTGTCAGAGAACCTGGGCTGGAGAAAGGGCCCTTGGTCCATTGGGTGGGCCTCATAGCCTGTCTGGATACTGGAGAAGGGAGTTTACCCCTCCCCCCCCAATAGAAGCCTAGATATCTCTTCGATGTGATGCAGGGTGGGTCCCAGAGCCGGTTTCGATAGCTGGAATAGGATTCTGGTTGTGAGTTAAGGAGCATGGATTCGAGATAAAATCGTTTCCAGAGGAGGCGTGTTGCGTGACGTGCTGCCCACGCAACAGTACAAAGAGTAAGGCAATAGAGTGAGCCATGTACTGAGGATGGAGAGACGCCACTTGTACTGTTGCATGACGTACTGCCCACGCAACAGTACAAACAGTAAAGTAATAGCACTTGTACTGTTGCATGACGTGCTGCCCACGCAGCAGCACAAAGGGTAAGGCAATAGAGTGTGCCATGTACTGAGGATGGAGAGATGCCACTTGTACTGTTGCATGACGTGCTGTCCACGCAACAGTACTAACGGTAAAGCAATAGAGTGAGCGATGTACTGAGGATGGAGAGACGCCACTTGTACTGGTGCATGACGTGCTGCCCACGCAACAGTACAAACAGTAAAGTAATAGCACTTGTACTGTTGCATGACGTACTGCCGACGCAACAGTACAAAGGGTAAGGCAATAGAGTGAGCGATGTACTGAGGATGGAGAGACGCCACTTGTACTGGTGCATGACGTGCTGCCCACGCAACAGTACAAACAGTAAAGTAATAGCACTTGTACTGTTGCATGACGTACTGCCGACGCAACAGTACAAAGGGTAAGGCAATAGAGTGAGCGATGTACTGAGGATGGAGAGACGCCACTTGTACTGTTGCATGACGTACTGCCGACGCAACAGTACAAAGGGTAAGGCAATAGAGTGAGCGATGTACTGAGGATGGTGAGACGCCACTTGTACTGTTGCATGACGTGCTGCCCACGCAACAGTACTAACGGTAAAGCAATAGAGTGAGCCATGTACTGAGGATGGAGAGACGCCACTTGTACTGTTGCATGACTTACTACCCACGCAACAGTACAAAGGGTAAGGCAATAGAGTGAGCCATGTACTGAGGATGGAGAGACGCCACTTGTACTGTTGCATGACGTGCTGCCCACGCAACAGTACTAACGGTAAAGCAATAGAGTGAGCCATGTACTGAGGATGGAGAGACGCCACTTGTACTGTTGCATGACGTGCTGCCCACGCAACAGTACTAACGGTAAAGCAATAGAGTGAGCCATGTACTGAGGATGCAGAGATGCCACTTGTACGAAAACAAATCGCCCCCATTTCCCTCCCTTGGAGCAATATAAATACACGTTTTCCCGTTACTGCAAGCGATATGCAGTGCCATGCTATGGATTGTCCGGGGGTTCGAACTCTCTTAAGTGAGGGGTTCAAGATTTAGGGTCTCATGCTCGTGCCAGTGGATATTGTAGTATCTTAGAAGTTTGCTGACGTTTCGGTTGAAAGTGTTGCCTCCAACTTCAGGATAAAAGAGTAACACTAGACTGTGATCTTATTTTTAATTCGGCACACTCATAATCAATATACAGTATATTTAACGATGTTACCATTATATATTGAAAGATACAACAGGAAAATAATGTCCGTGAAATTTGTTACAGTTGACTACAGAAGGACTGTTTGCCGGAAGAATTACTGGACAAACTGGCTCTAGGGAAGGGTTTTCCTGAGAACTTCGGTTTCCCCTGCCAATTCTCATTCCACCGACTGCTCCACATTCATCATCTATCATCTGGGGCTGCTACAATAGGCCAAAGAGTGGCCGACGTACAAAGTGGACTCGGTCTTACCCCCAATCAAAGAAACTAAAATAATCTATTATTGCCTTAATTGGGCGTATTGGAGCAGATCTTGACCTAAGACGAGCGTGGGACTTTGGTGGAGTGATAACTGGCGAGAAAAGTGCAGTGTCGGGAGACGAACCAAACGTAATACCACTGTGTCCACCACAAACACCTGGAATCGAACTAGGGATTCCGCAATACGAATCTGGCGACTAACTACCTGAACCGTTGGCTAGAACTTTGTTACTGCGGTCTGTCCGGAAACGAAGCATACCTGTATGCTCACACACCGCACCGTAAATTCATACCTGTATGCTCACACACCGCACCATAAAGTCATACCTGTATGCTCACACACCGCACCGTAAAGTCATACCTGTATGCTCACACACCGCACCATAAAGTCATATAAGGGCACAGAGGTAAAGCTTCACGCAGTCTGTGTTTCGGCAGGAAATATATGAGAATAGTAAGCTTCACGTTCCTGGCGTCTTTGTCCGCGGAGGGAACGTCCTGTTGGATAGAAAGCTTGATGGGCCCCAGAGCCAGTCGCACGTTGGTGACGAGAAAAATCCAAAGCCCCCTGACAGGAGTTCTGAAACTTTGAATAATTGCTACCCTCTAAAATAATTTATAAATATACCCCCCCCCCGGGTTGTGTAGTGACGGCAGAACAAGCTACATAACCTCTCAAGGGCGGCCGGAGCCTGAGGCTGACAATCTCATCGCCATCTGTGGGTCGATTATCTAGAGAAAACGTGAGAGCCTCGAAGTTTCACAAACCTATGGGCCTCCACGGCCTGTTATTTTTACATAAGATTAAAGTTTGTGACGATGGTACATTATTACCACTTTTATGTGTCTGGACGGTCTGGACCTTACCCATCGTCCTGTTTTTGTCTAAGACACCGTCCCGTTTAAATTTAAAAACAACTTTTTGGAGACTGAATTCTCTCTCCGCCTTCAAGTGAAACCTACTCAGTTGGGCCCCATTAATAGAGATATTTCTTATCTCCTAACATCTGTATACAAGCCAGTCAGCAAAATACACCTGCGAGAGTTAAAGCAAAATATTAAATTATTAAGAACTCTACACGTATGAGGCCTTGCACCAAAGAACTATTAAGATGGGAATCATCAATGGGGAGACAAATTCTCCATATGGTACAAAAATATAAACAAATTTTCCCGCACAATGCAGTGTACATTGAGTGAGAGAATTTTCGTATCTTGCATTTGGAGCATTTGTCTCTCCGTTCATGGCTTCTATCTTGATAGTTCTCTGGTGCAAGGCGTTCATGCTTGTAAAGTGGACGGCATAACCCACTTTTGGAACCACTGACCTACAGAAACCTGGACCTCGATCATCGAGCCCGTAGTGAGCCACTTTACTGACTCAGATATCCACGCAAGCGCAGTAATGGAAAATTTTACCTGTTCGGTCCGCGGTAGGAAACAGGAGAGGAACAAAATGCAGACATGAAAATTACATTTTGATGCGTAAGATTTGAAGTTTTCGTCTTTGTGGAGATCCATACACTGTTGTGGTCTTCTGGGTGATGACACCGTGTAGTCCCCTAGGTGGATACCACAGTTTCGAAGGAACATACCGACTACATCTTCAACGTAGAAATGTACGGATCAAATTTGGCACGTACCTACCAGACTACAGGTGTCATAACCCAGAGAACTTAAATAATATATAAGAATTCAGTGCGCACCTCACAGGAAACATATTACGTCTCCGCTACAAAGCCCAACCGGTTAATGCTGTTTAGGGAAACAGTCGCTGTTTATTGTGAGAACCATACGGAACACAGAGATACACTCTGTGGGCAGAATGCAGTATATATAAGGATTCAGTCCGTACCTCACAGGAAACACATTACATCGCCACTACAAAGCCCAACCGGTTAATGCTGTTTTGGGAAAGAGTTGCTGTTTATTGTGAGAACCATACGGAACACACAGATACACTCTGTGGGCAGAATGCATGATTTTAGTATTTAAAGCAGGTGGGACAAGTTGTAACCACTGTACTTTAAAGGGTTAATGAGACACTCGGAGGACAGGGTGCAGGATCGTCGCCAACAGGTCTGGCTACTAGAGGGGTCAGTCAATGGTTCCCGCACGTCTCGCTTTCAGTAGGCGTCCTGGCTAGCAGAAGGACGCACGATCACCGCCAGCACGACGACGACGTCGACGGCGACCACCTGAGTATCGATCGGAGAAGAGGTCTCGCGCGTTTGGCTGTAGCGAGAGGCGCACTGTGTGGAAGGCAGGCAGGCACGAGACAGTGGCGTGTGCTCCAGGACAGACACAGAACATTGAGACGAGAGAATAATCTTCCTCCCCTTCCTTCCCTGACCCTTCCCTTCCCCAATTCCCACTTATTTATTTTACCCTCGGCGTCTTGCGCGCGTGTGAATGGGTAGACCGGGGTCTGGTACTTCCGAGCTGAGCGCGGAAAGTTCTCGCCACGTGCATTCGCCCCGTTGTGTCGAATTCCAGCAACAGGCAAGCACCGTTACACCCGACAAGAAGCAGAAGAAGAAGTCGACTAAGATGCCTCAGCACCGCCCTAGGAAAAGCGGTGCTGCTGGTTCCGCTTTCGACGACGGAACCATCAACGGGGACTACCGCCGCCCTAGAAGAATCAGGAAGAGGTAAGCTGCAAGCAGTGTGTGGAAACGGAAGATGTCGGCAACCACAAAACTAAAAGAATGCAGAGATCATCGCACGGCTTGAAGCTATATGTGTCTGTGTTCAAGGCTTTGTTGCTGTACTCATTGTTACACCGCTCTGCCAACAATTGCACAGCCTCTGCACTGCGCAGAACACCGTGGCCGATCGCTTACTCAGTGTGTAACAGGAAAGACATGAATAAATAAAAGAGAACAACGGCACCCTGATGTTCACCCCTGTCTTGCTTATTATCCTCACTGCAACGGTCACACCCCCTTTTTTTTCACATCCTTCAGTACACTTTCGTACACCCTAGATGGAGGCACCAATCATTGCTGTGTGTTTCTGTTTCTGCAAGGCCAAGCTTATGTACGATCGATGTATCTCTTGTCACAGTGCTGGATCTAGCAGCGAATGTTCGTACTGCAGATGTTTTCCCGGGTCCGCCATTTTATTGTTTCGAGATACAGGGCTGCCAACAACGCGAGACGCAGCGGCATCCTGTTTTGTGTTGCTTAAGGCTGATCGTTGGCGCTGCGCTGCTTGGTCAATGTCGTGGTGAATGGTACACGTCATGTTGACCCCGAAGCTGCAAGTTTCGTGTGAATGTTATCGCAACCTGACTGTGATGTTTCTGAGCTGAACTAAGTCACGTGATGTGTCATGGCTTATGAAATGAAAGCATATTATTTTACTGTGATGAAACATTATTTTATGAAAATGTTCAAAGCTTTGTTTTTTTCTTTGTCCGGAAAATATAGAACACTGGTTTGTATTATGCTTGCTTTTATGAGTTCAGAATTATACATTGAGTTTTGCAGTGATGTTGTGGCTAACCTCCGGAATTCGGTCACATGTGCACTTATGGCGTTTTTGTTCTGAAATGTAGCAGCAGATCTAATTTAAGTGTTTTGCTTAGGGATCGTGATGCTTACTTACTTACTTACTTACTTACTCACTCACTCACCCATCCCTTGACCATGCTGTTCTGTAAGAAACTTGTCCCCCTTCAGGACACGCGACCATTTTTCTCTATTATTTGCATTTAGCCTCGGTCTCTTCAATTATAGCTCTCGTAAATAATTCTCTACATCCTCCAGCGTTTTCAGCTGTGCCTTCCTATTTTTGTCTCATACTAGCTAACTAACTCCATGGAGCTGAGCCCTTCTTCAGAAGTTTTGCAGCTACTCAAGAATTTCCCAGTATTTTATGGAACCCGAAGGTTCATTACCGTAATGACGAGGGCCCTCCACTGCTCCCTATCCTGAGCCATATCCAATCCATACAGTCCCATTCTATATCTCTAAGATCCATTTTAATATTATCCATCCACCTACTCCTTGGTCTTCCCAGTGCTCTCTTTCCTTCTGGCTTTCCCACCAATATCCTATTTGTATTCCTCGTCTCCACCATTCATACTATATGCCCTGCCCATCTCATCCTCCTTGACTTGATCATTCTAATTATACTTGGAGAAGAGTAAAAGTTATGAAGCTCCTCAATATGTAGTTTTCTCCAACCTCCTGTCACTTCATCTCTCTTCGGTCCAAATATTCTCCTCAACACCCTGTTCTCAAACACCCTCAGTCTATGTTCCTCCCTTAATGTCAGAGACCAAGTTTCACACCCATACAGAACCACAAGCAAAATTATAGTTTTGTATATTCTAATTTTTGCGTTTTTAGACAGCAGACGAGAAGACAAAAGGGTCCGGACTGAACGGGAGCTCGATCGGTTCCAGTGACGTTGCCCAGCAACTCCAATTCTAACCTTCTCCTGCTCTCTCCGAAACATGTCGTGGCTTTTTGTAAATGTGCAAACTTCGCCAGTTGAGACGACGCAGCTCAATGGGACAGAGGAGAAGTACACAAAGTTTTGACAGCGAAATTTGAAGGAAAGAGTCTGCTAGGAAGACCTAGACGTAGATTTAAGTTAATATTTAAATGAACACGAAATAAACAGGATGGGAAACTGTGGACTTGATTTTTCTGGTGCAGTGAACTTTCATGTTCCATAATATTCTAGAAGTTTCTTAAGTGACTGAGTAACTGTTGAGCTCTCAAGAAATGCTCAGCTCCGTAGAGTTGTGTAATTGTTGATGCATTCAGACCAAGAGCGTCATAAAGTGCACTTGTCGCCGTAACCTTGTGTCCCGCATTGCAATGTGCTCTCTGATCTTGTGTCACAGGTGTGTGACGTCATTCACATAAGTAGTGTACAGACACAATCAAGTGACGTAGGTCCATAAATACAACCTGCCCTGTGTCTGGCATGCAACACTGAGGTCCATACTTACATAACGCGAAAGTACGCCTCACGTGAGCGCGGTCAAGTGAGTGATGCCTTTGAGTTCTGTTCGTTCTCTGTAATATTGTAAACGGCAGGGCAGTTCTCGTGACTGTGAGTACTGAGATAACGTTATTCTGGAGTACGACGCCGTGTAGCTTGGCAGATAGGCACCCATTTACAAAATCGCATGAAACCAGCTTCACAAAGACAGTAATATTAGTGAAGTTATATGAGATTTTAGATTCTCATGGTGGCGTTATTTGGGATGTGACGCCGTGTAATTTAGTAGATAGTTACGTGTTTAGAAATTTCTCTGCGTCACTCCTACGATGACAGTATTGCTAGTTGAGTGACAGTATGATGCATCAAATGGACTGCCCCTTCCTCGTAACGACAGCGGCAAATCTTCTATCCGAACCCCAGACTACAGAAACAAAGGTACCTTCTGTACAAACGGCTTGACGTCTCAGTCTGCCCCACCGATATATCGATACTGCAGAAGTGTGAGCAGAAGCGTGAGCCAGACTCCCTACGTCCAAGCCAGTTTTCCAAGGAAGGTAGAGAGTTTTCCGAGGAGCCAGTTTTACAAGGAGGGTACAGATTTTCCGAAGAAGCCAGTTTTCCAAGGAGAGTAGAGAGATTTCCAAGAAGCAAGTTTGCCAAGGAAGGTAGAGAATTTCCCAAGAAGCCAGTTTTCCTAGGAGGGTAGAGATTTTCCTAAGCCAGTTTTTCAAGGAGGGTAAAGAGTTTTCCGAGAAGTCAGTTTTCCAAGGAGGGTAGAGAGTTTTCCTAGAAGCCGGTTTTCCAAGAAGGGTATTGATTTTACCGAGAAGCTAGTTTTCACAAGGAGGGTAGACAGTTTCCCAAGAAGTCAGTTTTCCAAGGAGTGGCAGAAAATTTTCAAAGGAGAAGCCAGTTTTCCAAGGAGGGGTAGACAGTTTTCCAAAGAGAAGCCAGTGCTTAGAGAGGGGCAGCCAAGAATTTGCTTAAAAACCTGCGTTCAAGCCTTTTTAAAATTATATTTACTGATCGCATTTCGATATTCAGGATGTAACATTGATTTTATTTTAATCACTTTTAAATTTTGGAATTCAAATTTGCTATATATATATATATATCTTTTTAAATCCGGAGGGGCTGATTCCTGACTTCCCTTCCCCTTATCTGTGCCCATGGATACGAATCTGTCATTAAGAACCACGCCATGAGGGCGTATGGTATAGTGGAAGTATAACTCCACGCATACTTAACTTCTGCAAGAGAGAGACTCATGTGGCCAGCCTCATGCTCCGGCCATTTTATATTCAGGGAAAGATGCAGCGCTATCCATTGTACACGAGGTAGCTTGGGAGAGCAGTCACTGTCCTTTCTGGAAATTGAGCTCCGATTTACCGGTCATTCGTCTAATAACTTCACTATACTGACTGAGCTATCCTGGCTTCGACGTTTACTGCTGTGTTGGCATCCTTGTTTACCGCGATTGGGAGCAGGACTTTGGTAACAGGTGACTAAGGCATCAGAGGTACCGCAGCAGTTAGCAGACATGCAGTACGCAAACAGCCACGTGACCTGCCACTCTGTCTAATAAAACAAGGACCCTGCACTGCTTTCTCAGGTTGTCTGTGTACTGTTCGCGTGGGGCTCTCAGCGAGGATTTCCTTGCGCATTATTGAATTTGTCTTTGTAATAGACACGCGCCGTGTTCTCTGCGCGGTAGGAACTGATTCTTTGAATATTTGTCCAATCTCTGTAAGAAAAGTATATAATTTTCCATCAAGCAAAGCAACAGCACGGAGTCACGCGGTGGCGTAGTTGGTTGGGCGCTAAGCTAAAAACCTTAAGGTCGCGGGTTCGATTCCCGACGAAGTTATTGGGTTTTTCGATTCATCTAATACTTCCAGCCTCACTATGGCCCTGGGGTCGACTCAGCCTCTAACAGAAATCAGTACCAGAAATCTTCCTGAGGGTAAAGTTCGGCCGGCGCGTAAGACTGAACCTCACCGCCATCTGTGAACCTATTGTCCAGAAAATGTGGGAGCCTCGACGTCTCACAACTCTTATGGACCTCCACGGCCTGTTACAGGGATAGCTTTACATTTTTTAAGCAACAGCACAGATAGTGACTGACGTTAGAGTTCGCGTGTTGAATGCTGGGTACTTGCTAGAAGTCAGCTCACATATGGACGGTCCGCCGATTTGCCAGATCTATTAAAATTTCCATGGTTTTCCTCGGTCCTGGAGCCTCATCATTTGATACGTAACCTTTCATAATATTGACTTCCCCTGCTTTCTCCCGCATTAGTTTTCCAACACGCCATTGAATGATACGTCGAGGCCGGAATTTTACTCCATCTCCCATGAATAAAACACAGAATTATTCAACTGCAATCCATCTCTTTTATAGTATTTAACTTCACACATCCGCTTCAAGATATTATCAGTACTCACAGAATAGTCACGATACGCTGTCTCGTGATCTACTACATAAAGAACGTTCATGCAACATGTTAACGCTCAGAAGTCCGTTGCTGTGGTAACCTGGTACTGCCTTCTTTATGTAGAGGGAAATTCCAGCGTGTGAGTTGCCATGGAAGCGACCTCGAAGTGACATCACATATCGCTTCTGAGGAGTGTTCAGTGGTGCCAGTCCCTTCTTAGAATTCTGTCCTTAGAAAGTCTTTTCGCCATCGGA